AATTTACTTTAGCAGCTTCGATGACTTTGGGTGAGCTGAGGGGAATCACAGCCAACAAACTATGTCTGAGGAAAAATTTTCCATGGCACCTTTATAGAAGGGCTCCAACCAAAGGTGCCTAGTGATGGATCACCATGCACTTTTGAAAGTAAGAGGATAAAAGTGGAGAGTTTTCTACAGCACATATTTTACACATGCAGTTATGTTTAATGTAGTATGAAATATAAAGCTCTAGAACTTTCACCTCTGGACGGTACTTCATAACTGCAGACAAAATCAGCCAGTGACTGAAAGAGGCTGCATAAAAGATCAGAGCACTATAAATTTCCTAAAATGTGGATTACTGAAGGAGGAGAGCATACTCCTTCAACAAAGGGGCAACAACATTGTTTCCCTTTTCCCACTCCACAAACACAAAAAAGAAAAAAAAAAACACATTCTCTCCAAATAACAATTACCTGCATGGTATGGAACAGCATCCTCAGAAATGAGTAATTTTCTGATTACTCATTTGTTAAACTCTCTATACCCTGTTGTCTGTGAACAGTTCATAAATTTCTGATCCTCTGGCATGTGTTTATCTTTGGGTTGGACCAGATAGCTATGCAAACAGTTTATAGAAGAGATTATTCTACATTTACTTGGGGGAGTATTTGCCCTCTCTGTTTTATGCAGAGAAACAATAAAGGCAAGTATATACTTAGCAAAAAGAAAAACAAAAGGAGAAGCAGAGATTACCCAGCTGGTAAATGATATCAAGTACACAGAATGATTGCTGGGTTTGTGCGGACTGATTTTCTTGAGTATCTTGAAACAAACAAGCCCCTTCAAAACACTGAAAAACTGCCATGCAGAGCAAAGCAGAAGAAGAGGAGGAACTTCCAAGAGCAATTTGTAACTGCTCCAAAATAATTTGGAGATAACATACACAACTGAAGGACCTTCAATGAATGCCTGGACAGATATGTTCTTGCAAATCATGTTAGAGCAGTCTAAAAAATACTAGTTTTTGCTCTCTTTGCTGAAGGCTGCCCTTGCAACCAAGATACAGCAACTGCCCATGTGAGTTCTCCTACTACATGCAGAGCAAAATAAATCATTACTGAAGGCAGTAAGAATGTTTGCCTACACCCTTAGTCACAGGGGACCACTTAGTGACTCAGTAAAATTCCATAAACATCTGAGCGCTTGTATTTTTCATTTCCTGCCACTTGACTATACAATAGCTGGAGAAGCTACTGTATCCAGCTCCTTTTTTCTCACTTTCTCATTAGTGCTGAAATATTCACTACACCCAAACTGATTTCTCTTAGACTATGTATCAATATCATAAACTAAGAACTGTCCCAGTTTGAAAGGCAATGAAGCCTAGCTCTTGATATGATGATGAACTGAAGTGGCCAGCAACTATGGCATCACTGACTGAATAGGTTTGGTGAGAATTCATACGGTAAAGACATCAAGTAAGCCCCGTGGGGATTCCTGATACAGGAAAATACTTAAGTGCTCAGTACTTCAGTGATGTTGGCAATGAAAAACACACACCGCACTATTTTGTCTCTCAGACACTACAGCTCACGGAAAAACTAACTGAAATACTAAACACTTTTTTATGCTTCCTTTCACAGCTTTTTTGTCATTACTGTTGATGAGTTTTTTTCTCCAGGAGTTAAGATCTGTCCCACTCCCAGCCTCAGTCAGACCAGTTATTTCAGCTCATAGTCAAGTATTCACTTCACTGACCCATGTAATTTTTCATCCCAGTCCAACAATATTTATTTTAGCTTCACAGGCAGCATGACTTCTTTTTTCAAGTAAACTTCTATACTAAGCTTTGAAGTTTGAATGTTACCTTTCAGTTCCAAAATTGCAACCCTTTTATTCTTAATTGTCTGTCTTTCCTCAAAGGTTTTGTCTTTTTATCCTTCAGTGAAGTAAGACAGTACCATACAGTGAAATATTGCCTTCTATGTACTTCAACAGATATTCTGAGAACCTTTCACATCATTAGTCAGAGACTCTTTTAAAATATCTATGGACCATGTCCAGAGAGTTGTAGCCTAATTCAAGTATTTTTATTACCCCATGAAACTGCAGATGTGCTGATTACTGAAATATACAGTGGATGCTCCATGAGGAAACATCACGGTTTAGGTCTCTGCTGTCACGCAAACAGAAATTTGTATTCTATTCTTTACCTTTGATCACCCAGTAATGACTGACATCTGTATATGCTCTTACTAATACTTTATCTACCCAAGAAAAATTTAATAGACAGCTTTAATATGAAAATGTTTTCTGGAGTGCGCCCTAATAGGAATTTCAAATCCAGCTGAATCTTCAAAGGATATGCATTTGAGTCACAAAGCTATACCTGTCAAAATGGTAAAAGTAATTTTTAATTTGGTTTTCTTTCAGCTGAGGAAGTGAATAAAAAGTAATTCAGTTAAGTGACAGGATGCTCATTTATTCATATTTAGGCCAAGACAAAATGTGTCACAGAATTCTTTACATAAGGTTTTAATTCAGTTGCTTAGAGTAAAACCTCTTACAGGAATGCTTCTGTGTCCTTTTGAGTGCAACATCCATTTTAAACTCCATCTGGTTGCATACAAACCCATTCCTGAGCTACAGTCAATTACCCATTTAAATTCTTTGACTCTCTAACCAACTTTCAGAAGATGTTTTTCTTCTTATTGACAATATATCACTGCAGAAAGTCCAAATCAGAATCAGAGCCCTCCGGGGGGCAGGGGGGGTGGCACTGAAAGGACAAGACAGCCTCTACCTGAGATTGAATTCTGGTCTTCTGATGAGACTGTCTTTTCAATTCTGCTGTATTTCATTCTCTGCTCTCTCTATTTAGAATGTGTTTTTAAGGCATTGCCTACAGCTTCATTTAAAGACTTTTGTATCACTCATGTTTTATGATAGGGTAAAAAGCTAAGCTTATTTTACAATTTTGAAACATTTGATCTCTCCAGAGCACCATGTTAATAAAGAGTCTCTCACAGGTTTACTACAAAGACACTCAGTGAAAACCTTTCCATCAAATGTAAACAGTTAACTTGGTCAACCCTTCACTAAAATTTGGGGCATCTCCCTAAGGAAGCGGACAATTCAGTCTGTTTAACAGAGAGACAGAGGCCTCTCAAGATTTGCAAAGGAAGAACGAGGCATTCCTCTCTCCACTGACCGCACAGAGACAAAAGCAGGGGTGTCAGGCTCCTCTGTCCACTTGGGATCCAGTCTGCTCTTGTTCTGAGAGTGGAATTTGCATTCCTGGATGTACAGTGGCTCAAGTTCAACAGAAAGAGTAAAGGAGACTCTTGCCCAGCATATACTACAGCCTTGTGAATCTGCTGGGATGTGGAGATGTGAATTCAAACTCTCCTGCACTGAGTAAAGCCTACACCTCCATGCTCCCTCTTCCCTCCAAAAAAAAGTGTTAGACCCAGTAGAATACCATACAAAACAGCAGTAGAATACCATACAAAAGGAAGTGGCAGCACCACCACCAACAGGGAAGTTCAGTAAGTCCTGATCACCTCTGGCTTTTCTGGAGGACATGGGCAGAATCCAGCTACCTGTTCTCCTCTACCTGGATCTCAGCAGTGTTCTGGGCAGGAGATAGGTTCTTTTCTCTTATAAAAGGAGCATTTTGGAACTTGCATGGTTAGGTAAAGCGAGGGAGTTAGGGAACTTTCAGCACGAATTGTAAGGTGCCTGATTCTCTGGCAGCTGCATCCTGTCTCAGTGTAAGCAGGTGGATTAGATCGTTGTCTGAAACTTAGTGGGGTGGGTAGGGGGTTGGTGCCTAGCTCTCAGTTGCTCCTTCTATGGTCAATAGACAGAGAAACGTTCCTTTGAAGGAAAAATGAGATCTGAGATTGACTACCTGCCTTCTGGAAGTATCTGCCTTTCTTCATCAACCACAAAAGAATCCTAGAGAGTCCTGTAAACTGCAGTGTTCAAATAAGTGCCTAAATTTTAGCGGGATGAATTCAGCACGTTGGTGCTGAATCACTGGCAATGATTTTTTTTTTTTTTTCCAATTTCTTATTTAAAGTAGGTTTTCTGGTTTGTTTCCTAACCTATGTCATAAACAAAAATTTAAACTGATGGAGAAACTGAAAGCCAAGTATATCCTTACTATAACCCCATTAGCGTCAATGGGCAAGTTTTAATTCCACGTAATTCATCTCTAAGATGTTTTCAAGTGCCGTGCCTACACAGCTGCAGTGCCAGACTTTAGCAACACATACCTGGCCAGCACATAGCACAGTCACACTTCCTTTCATGGCCTAGGAAGCAGCTTTCCCTGTCCTCTGACAATTAGCAGATGACACTGAGAATGCCCACAGAGAAGTCTGGGAAATTCTCTGTTCAAAAGCAGAGCAAGAGCAGCCTCCCCTCCTTATAAGAAAGTTTTTGGCTCCAACTAATGCTTTTGCCACCATTCTGTTAGTGCTTAGCTCCAGGTTCTTACTCCTATTAGTTAAATGCAGGATATGAGTCATTATTCTTATGCCTAGACTAGATGATGCTTCTCTAATGCAAAAATGGTCCCTGAACATCTTTCAATCTCAGTACAGTAGAAACTCTGCAAATTTTCAAAAGGATGAGATTGTTCTTAACGTAACAGGCTTAATTAATGGGGTTAAACTATCTGCCACTAAAACTGCTCAGAAGCTGAGAGTTATAAGACAAAATATTTGACTGAGGCTGGTGTGGAAGTACAGTCAGTTTTGATTGGGGCTTCTGGCAATACCTTTTTCAAGAGACCCAGAATCCCCTCCACAACCAGTGATTTGACCTCACTGTTTTCTCTGATGTATAGTAGGTTTGGAAAAATCCTTGTAAAGTAGGAGAATGAATTTACGCCTATTTTTCATTCACATACGTACTTCTACAGAAAACTCAGGAAGACAGTACACTTTAAGACACCTTAAACATCAATCAAATAAATGAATGACTGTACAGAAACAATAAATAATTACCTTCAAGTGTTTCTCCCTCTCCAGAAAGGGCCTCTCCTGCTCCAGAGGCATACAAGGCGGACACAGTCAATGCATACCTAGTGGCTTGGTCTAAGCCTTTCAGCACTTTAGAGGTTGTGTCACCTTTCACCGTCACTTCCTTAGTTTCACCTCCTGCGACTGGAGTGTATGTTATAAAGTACTGCTGCACTTTGCCAGGAGCAGCACCCCAAGACAGCTTCATTGTTGACGTTGTAGCATCAGAAACTCTCAAATTTCTTGGATTTCCTCGGACTGCACATGTCAAAAGATGTTGAAAATAAGTTGAAGCGAGCTTCATTTCTTGGTTTATTCTTTAGGTTGCCACAACACAGGACTTAATGCTGAAAAAATAATTCCTGAATACCCTGCACTAACACTGCTGCAGTATAACTTCACTGTAATCAGGATTGTACGATTCCATCCCCACCCTCCTTCGGCAAAAATGCCCAATAAAGTCTTTTTGCTCCTATTTCTTTCTCTTAAAACAGACTCAATCCTGGAACACTTATACATACTAGCACCTTAATATATGCTCAACTTCAACACACCAACATCCATTTTGAAGTCACTGTCTGCAGAATCAAGTCAAAGATCACCAATGAAATGTGAAATCAACACATTACGGTTTCCTACAGAGTTCTTTTTGATGATAGTTTTTCTGATTTCTAATATTTAAAATCTCAGTGAAATTTCACCAGTGATCAGGACTTTCATACTGTCTCTGTACTCTTCAGTTTTTCTTTAATAAGGCATGATATCTGTTAAAGGATCATACATTTTCATACAAGTTTACAGTGATAACGGTAGTAAATTAAATGTTTCATTCATTCCTTGACAGCCATTTGGAATAAAGTGCAAACAGGGCCTGAATTTGCTGAAAAGAAATATCATTTATATCACTAACAATATGAAGAATCATGAGAACAATTAATTAAACACACAGGTAGATTCTTCACCCAAGTTACCTTGCCATATTAGGTGTTGCAGATTCAATAGACTATATTTTAAAATGAAATATTACAATTTATCAAATTGGTAATTGTCTTAAACTACCTCTCAACTAGGCTTGAGTAATTTTATAATTCCCTGTTCATATGGGATAATACATGTTGCCAATATGGGTTATTCTCTTTTCGGTATGAATATGTCAGCATGCAGGGAGTTCTTCTCAAGCTTACTACATTCACAGCACTGATCGTGTACCTTCATCAGTTTTTGCATATCCACTCAGTGAATTCCCAGGCCCAGACTGATACTCAGGAATAACAGACACTTCGTATCTTGTATCTTGGATCAAGTTCTGCAGAGTAGTTGATCTTTCGTTTGCCGAGACAGTCACTTGTCTCCTTTCTCCTCCAGTAAGTGGTCTATATACAAGCCTGTACCGTAGGACATTTCCTGGAGCTGGAGTCCAGCCAACTATAAAGCTATCTGTAGTTTCATCCGTTATCCTTAAGTTTCGAGGAGCACCTTTAACTACAAAAAATATAGACATGTAATTTGTAAATATTTGCTTTTAATCAAGTAGTATCTGAAGTGAAACCATTCCAATCATTCTGTTAGTTCATCCAGTTTACCAAAACAACAGCTTATATTGCCCTCCCATTGTTTTAAGGTACACAAACCATTACTTATTTCTGAAAATTTAGGGCCAGAGTTAAAATCAGCAGTGTAACAAAGCTGTTCCCAAAAGTACATTAATCTCAGTTTATACCACCACTTCTGAAACTTAAGACAGTCTGACTATGTTTAGCAGTAACAGTAGAATTGAACTGTGTAAGGAACATTTGGGCAGAGTGGGGAAATTTCTTAACACTACAAATCGTATAGATTTTTTTGCTACAGCCATTTGTTTCTGCACCACCTCCATTTACAGTGTGGGTTTTTATCAGTCCTAAGAGGAAAGAGCAATTAACAAAATTTCCATGCTGTTTCTTTTGCTCCCTTGGAACCATTTACATTGCCAAAGGTCACAAATGACAGCATGGAATAAGGAAAAAGAGTGGATCAATATTTTTAAAATCCTGATTTAGACTAGATTGAGTATTCAACTACTGGAATAAAATTTACGGTCATCCTTCTCTTTTAAATCACTGGAAATGCATCGTGGCAACTCTATCAATAAAAGTACAGCTACCATGCTTAAATTTACAGCCACTGATCACATAAACTCACACTGACATCAATGGAAGTTTTGAATCAGTGAGAGTTACTGGATCAGACCCATGAAGCTCTGATGAGAAACAGCTGACCAAAAACTCAGGCCTCTCTAAGCCTATGGTATATAAGACAGAATTTCTACTAACGTAAGTTAGATGTAGACACAAATGCAAACCTATGCAAATTACATAGGTACATGCTTAACTTTAAATATATTAAAGTGAACATGCATTCC